TATATAACCATTCTTTAGTGTTACATGTTTAAAACAGTACAACATTTTACAGTACCATTCTTTAGTGTTACATGTTTAAAACAGTACAACATTTTATACAACCATTCTTTAGTGTTACATGTTTAAAACATTTCAAAGCGATTAGGCTTACCAAACTCGTTAACCACCTAAAACCTAGAGTACAAAACTGTAAGCCGTAATTAAGTATTTAGATGAAAATTTATTCCATTGCTACATAAATCTTATTCTGTCTCTTACACACATATATATATGGATCTGCACGTACAGCATGCACGTGCGTTTGGGTATTTATTAGCTTTGAAAAAAACAAAGTTCGTTTCAACCTGCACTGCTTGCTCAACACAGATTATTTAATTTGCACGCATCGTCCAAGAAACACATGCAAGAAAAAAACAACAACATGCAAATACTGATAAGTAACTGACAAGTAACATGTATATAAAATACACTGACAACAAGATATCACGTAATATTCTTTCTTAGTGGAAACCATGAATACTCATGGTTCCGAAGAATGAATGAAAGATTGATTTCCCCTCGATAAATATACGAGTAACACGATATATATATATAATATGTTGTTTTATATACAGATATAAAACACTACGAACTTAATCTGTTCAATACATTATGTGAGGACTTGAGTGTTATTTTACGTCGAGGGTGTTAGGAACAAACGAACTTTGTTATATTATATTAAACAGAAAGAAAGATTAATGACCACGTTGGTGTCATTAAATTTTATAATTGAATAAAAAAACTTCTTTAATGTTTGGATACTTTCAAACACGTCATTTCAAATCAAAATGACGGTAGAACTGAAGTGACGAAAGAATTAACATAATCGGTGTATTTTTTTTACCAACGCTTGTAATTGTTGGAGACATGTTTAACTGTCTTCTTCACCTATTCTTTTTTTCTACAGCGTAGACATGTTCAGGTTACGGCCCAACATCATCTTTATAAGACAAATGATTAAAATCCGAAGTCACAATGGACAGACAGACGTCTTAAGCCTCATTTTAAAATTAAACGTTCTTTGCGGGGCTGACTAGTGAATGTAACAGCCGTCTGAGAAGCTAATAAAGCCCCGGATATGTCGTTGTGATGCAGCTATAGATTACACCGAACACTGATGGAACTCTTAGATCAAGCCTCTCACTCAAGACATTTCTATACGCTTCCTCAGACGACTAATGCCGTTGGCTGGCATCCAAAGAAGAAAGATTAAAATGACAACAAAAAAAAACACCCACTTTCCTTATAATTAAGCTAAGAATTCCTGAAAGACTAATGCGAAAAAAAAAAAGGACTTGGAACATCAAGTGTGGAAATTCCACTTTCTTCTCCAGATAAATCTTTTGAGTTTTCTTGGTTTGAGCTAATAACTTTTCCTCAGGTGTTTAATTAACATGTGCTTATTTTACACCATCAGTTATGCCGGACTAAAAATGTACCATCGCCGAATCTGTGAATAATGGAGAAACGGAATATTTGAACATTATGCGCAAATAGATCAGATCCCCCCCTCTCTCTCCCCCCCAGGGTTCAGGTATGTAGAACTCCCAAACTTTCAACTACTTACCACAACAAGTGCAGCCAATAGTAACATTTTATAATAAGCTGGTTAAACTCGGTAAAAATAGGGAGAGAATATTCTAGAAAAAAATAGACATACTGGGTAATGAATAGGGCCAGACTTTCAACATGTTACAAAAACAGAATATTCTAGAAAAATAGAAACACTTAGGTAATAAGGCTAGACCTTAAAAACATATTACGGAAATACATATAATATTCTAAAAATTATAAATAGTAGACGTGGCAAATAAGAGTTGTTGGTAATCTTGTTCTTAGATGTGTCAAGGTAAGAGTCGTTGGTAATCTTGATCTCAGATGTGTCAAGGTAAGAGTCGTTGGTAATCTTGTTCTTAGATGTGTCAAGGTAAGAGTTGTTGGTAATCTTGTTAGAATAAACACTGAATACTGGTGAACATAAGCGAGTCGTGTGTGTGTGTAGATTAAAATATGATACAATACTGAGTAACAATACGTTTATACAATACTGAGTAACAATACGTTTATACAATACTGAGTAACAATACGTTTATACAATACTGAGTAACAATACGTTTATACAATACTGAGTAACAATACGTTTATACAATACTGAGTAACAATACATTTATACAATACTGAGTAACAATACGTTTATACAATACTGAGTAACAATACGTTTATACAATACTGAGTAACAATACATATATGTACCTAAGCAAATAAAAAATTCTGATATACTGAGACGACTAATGGAAGCTGTTATGTTATCACATCTAAGAACAAGATTACCAACAACTCTTACCTTGACACATCTGAGATTTCCATTTGACAAAAGAAAAAATCTCTTCCATACATCATCCACAAATTTAGTACAAACCTAAACATTGTTATAAAGGTTTTATTCATGTAGGGGTAAGTGACTTTCGACATGAAGATTGTGAGGACCGGTTTCGTTATCTTCTGTATATGATCCACAGAAGAGCTTTTTTGAAATGGCAGAAAGTGACTTTCGACATGAAGATTGTGAGGACCGGTTTCGTTATCTTCTGTATATGATCCACAGAAGAGCTTTTTTGAAATGGCAGAAAGTGACTTTCGACATGAAGATTGTGAGGACCGGTTTCGTTATCTTCTGTATATGATCCACAGAAGAGCTTTTTTGAAATGGCAGAAAGTGACTTTCGACATGAAGATTGTGAGGACCGGTTTCGTTATCTTCTGT